ATCCTTCTTAAAGCTCCTGATGTTCCTGCTCACAAATTAGACCCCGTAGAGTTGTTTCTCTTGGCCGGCACCATTCTCCCGAATTATTTTTAGAGCCATAAATCATCCACCCAGGCCCAGTTTCACCATTTCTGCTTTAATTAGCACCGAGGAGTGAGAAGAGCTACCTGTGAATGACACCCTTTCCTATGTGCAACTGTTTTAATGATTTTCTCATCATGTTTTTCCACCCTACCCCCACTCATCATCCAAAGCAGTCTCCCTGGCTGTCTTCTTCAGACTCACAGTACAAGGTGTCTCTTCCCCCTCCCCAAATTACTGGCTTACATATGGGCTGCTGCTACACAGCTCCCTTGGGACTGCAGTTTTTCCCATCTGCTTTGGGAGGACATGGGCACGGGGACATACAGCACTGCTTGGCCTCTGAATGCACAACAGTTCCAGTTGGCCACAGTCCCTTGGGCCGTGCATCGCTCACACGGAGGGCACTCAGCATGATGGGCTGAGCCCCTGTTATGTCAAGATAACTAAGACCCTTCCTCTACAGGGGCAGTCTTAGTGATTTTGGGGTCCTGGGCCAAAGTCTAGGAGGGCCCCCCAGAAACACTGCTACTCCTTGCCACCCCCTCCCTCTGCCAGGGCCAACACTGCCATGGAAGCCAGCTGCCAGAGCCCAAAATGTGGCAAGTGCAAGTGGAGGCAGGAGCCTGTTCATCTTCTTTTCCACCCTCCTTTGGGGGGGAAGGCTGTGGGCCGTTGGGGGCTCCAGCACATGGTTTCTGGGGCAGCCAGCCCTGCTGCCTCTTGGCTAAGACCGCCCTGCTCTATTCAGCACAAGTTCTGATGTTCTTACTCTGAAGCAGCAGTTCTCCCAATAAGGGGTGATTCAGCATGTAACTGGCGGGTGGGCGAGGGAGGCCCCTGTGCCACAAAGACAACTCATAAGGCCGCATTGAGTCTGTTCAACTCCCGGGCACACCTCAGGTGTATGTCCAATGACTTGTGATTCTTACAGTGCAATTCTAAGCAGAGCATAACTCCATATAAGACTGCTACCCCTTGGGAACTGATTTAGAGAGGGCAGGGAGATCTTCTTTTCCACCCTCCTTTTGGGGGGGGAAGGCTGTGGGCCATTGGGGGCCCCAAGCACATGGTTTTTGGGGCAGCCAGCCCTGCTGCCTCTTGGCTAAGATCGCCCTGCTCTATTCAGCACAAGTTCTGTTGGCTCCTACTTCAGAGCCTGTTTATAAAAGTCAGTAGAACGTGTTGGCTGATCCCTAAAGGGGTCCATACTTCTCTCACTTCCCCCTGTTCCTGCAGTTCCCTCATAGAAAACCCACATGGTTAAACCTCTCTCTCTCACCTTCTTCGAAACACAGATTTTCATGGAAGACTTAAACTCTGACAGCTTTCTTCCAACAAAATCTTACGAATGCTAGACATTCTGAAGTATAGTAAAGCCAAGAATGACTGTGCGAAAGGGAGGCAGCGAGGTGACCAGAATGCTTATCTGAGAAAATAGCCCCCCTTTTACTCGCTTGTCAAGGCCTCCATCTCATGATCATGCACAAAGTCAAATCAGAGTAAGAACATCAAGTAAGCCAATCAGATTTGGCCATGTGATGATATCACAAAGCCAGATCAGAGTAAGGTCAGTGTTTATTGACCTCACTCTGAAAGGTACCTCCCCCCCAAAGATTAACTGAACAAAGGAACTGTATTTTGGGGAGGTGAAAAAGGGAGAGAACTGCATGTCAGGTGAACATGACGGTATATTTGTTCTCTCTGCAGTGTCTCTGGAATAGACCCATACATTCTGGAAGGTTCTTAATACAGACCACCAGCCTAATTCAAGCACACTGCAGAGGCCCACTTCATGAAGCACCACAGCACCTGCCCTCACCTGGTCCGGCTTGGCTCAATCTTGCAGGGATCCAGCTCTACATATTTCTTCTCCTCAAAGATCCGGTTAATGATGGGCTTCAGCACCTCATGGAGATAAGGCATTCCCACTACCTAGATGGGCGCAGAGAGAACAAGTGGATATAGAAAGAAGAAAATGCATGTTGAAAAAGCACATACTTGAAATGAAACAGGAAGGGAAAGGATGGCCAAAAAATGCCTCTTGGAAAAAGGGCATATCTACTCTACACATGTATATATTTTTTAAAGTTGTTGCTTCTGCTGAAGAACCCCGTGAAGAGCAGTTTGGTGATAATGCTAAGATTTTGATAGCCACTCCAAAGCTCATCTCAGGAACGACAGTTCCCAGAGCTCACTAGGGAGAGGGGATGACTAAATTAAATTTGTGGTGTTCATTCACCCTAAATATTTGGGTGGCTTTGGCTTGCCCAACTCTTTCCTCAGTTCAGACTACCAGATGGCAGCTGGACCAAAGAGGCTATGAGGACGTTTTTACTAAGAATCACCGGATTTATTTTATACCAGCACTGGCACTACATTTCCAGAAGATTCCATGTAAACCTCACAGGTACAGATGAACAAGCATAAAAATATCTTCCTCCTTTTAAGAGACAACTGCCACTTCAAAGGAGATGATCTAGAATCCTTCACCCTCTTTTGTCAAACATTTTGGCAAGCTTTTTCTGGACAGCTCGTCCTTTGAAGTGACAGCAGCCATTTCAAAGAATGAATGACCACATCTGAACTGTAAAGTGTCAGGAGAATCTGGTTCATTCTTTTTTACGGAAGTTCATCGTTTTTTGAGAATCCTAATATCAGAGTGGGGGGAAATGCTACACAACTCAGAAGAATGGTAAAATCTATATTACAGGGTCAAGTGCTTGCTAGTATTATCAATGTAGTACAGCTGAATTTATCCATATGTGGCAGATTTGTAGTAAAGTTAACTATTCTCTGGAAAATCCTTTCCCCTGCTGCCTCCCAAATTATGGAGCTAAATTCAAGCCCAACAGCACCTTAGAGACCATTAACATTTTGGGAGTATACTTATTATACTTCTGAAATGGTTAATAAAGTACTTCAAGATTTAGCAGTATATCCAATTACTGATTAGATTAACATTATCTAGATTTTGAATACACGTTAAGAGACATATATTTTTCCCTACTGTTTTGCTTATTACTTACAATTTATTATATTAAAGATAATAGGTATTTATTGTTTGTTAGCACCTTGTATTACTATTAGAAAAATTAATAAATACTTCTTTAAAATAGGGTTAGGGTGACTAACCCCACACAACATACAGTGCAAATCCTCCTCCTCTTTTGAAGAGAGAAGGAGGTATTGCCACTGCAAAGTCATATTTCATAAAGGGAGGCTTCCCTTCTGCTGGGAAGTTTGTTCACACCCCACCCCGCAAGCATAACAGAAATCTTTGCAGTAAAAAACAGAACCCCACATATATCTGCCACTACACTGCATGAAAGTCATGGGGTGCTTCTTATTGAAGACTGCTTCCAAACACCTTTTGGGTAGGCCCATATGCTTTCTGCTCCTCTCCAAAAATAGCAACTTGTTCCCCTGCCTCTCTCTCACCTTCATGAATTGCTCCATGGATTTGGAGGCCAACGAGTTTGTAGAGTGTGTTCGGATCCGCTGGAAGGACAGAAAGAGACTGGTGTTGGTGTGTGTTGCAAACTAGGCTCTTGTTAAGACCAATGTTATGAAGACAGATGGGGTCAGCATAGCAGATATTGAGCTGGAGAACCTCCAGTTCCAATCCAACCTCTACCCTGAATTCACTAGACAAGCCCCTTTTCTCCCAGCTCCTTTCTACCACATTAGTGCACTGAGATAAGCTGAATTCTGTGCCAATAAAAAGCTAAGTTTTGGACTTTCATAAAGCAAAATTCCTCTTTTGTTTTGTGTAATTTATTCTGCTTGTGCTGTTCATGGGGACAGGCAAGGAATGATAAAGTACCCTGAAGTCTTCTAATCACTGGAAATCTTATTTAGCACCGTCTGGCTTCACAAGTTCCACACATGTCACCCATTCATTTTCAAGCATATCCATATGGGCTAAAAACTCATTCATTTAAAAATGAAAACTGAGAGTCTCTGAAAGCTTGATTCTGTGCCCAGTGCTACTTTTTGTGGCTTCCTACTTTACTACAGAATTGCAACACACACATGCGGGCTGTCCTAGTCATACGATCCTTCTGGCTGTAGTATTGCACCTGGGACCAGATTCAAACACAATGAATGTCTGAATGCAGAGTGCTTACTGGTTCTGGAAACTTCATGGAGATTCAGGTAGTCCAAAAAGGGTACCACCAGGCCTTGCCCAAGGAAGATCTTGACTAGTTTGGTGGCCACATCTTGACGACTCTCCACTGAGCATACCTCTTCCAGCACAGCCAGGGGTGTGACGTCATCCTTCTCCTGCAGTGCAGCATAGCATCCCCAAGTAAGATGTCAATATGTATTTAAAGACTGCCTTTCTTCAGTGCCAAAAATAGACTTGAGTGCAGACTGGAGTACTGGAATGATGTGTATAAATAATTTGATGTGTTTGTGCATAGCAAGGTTTTTTTGTGTGTGTGTGCAAGGGTGAGCTTAACTGATTGCCTAGTTGTCATTAGACCTCCTTGGGAACATCAGGACTCTGCTGAGTTACGGACTTTTGCTGGAGCAACTCCTGCTATTCTAAGGAACTCTCCAAGGTCCTGCAATGTCTTACTCTGAGTGGCTGCCTCGACCTACCTGCCAAATGCTGACCTACACCCTCTCAGTTTTCAACCTAACTAGAAAGGAAAACCTGTTTTTCCACAGTGCTACAGCCCCCCATTCTGTACAGTACTACAGCCCCCAGTTTCATCCATTCCTGATCCACCCCCTTCCATTTTTTTCTCTTTTAACCCAACACTTCTCAGACAAATGAGTAAAAACCCATCACAATGTTGTCCAGCCAGCAACTGCCCAAGTACCCACCTTTGGCGGGCACAAGATGGATTCCACCAGCAGGTCTATAAGTGGCTGGTAGTACCTGGAGGGCAGGATCCTATCCTCTGCAAGACGAACTCGCAGCCTCAGCGCCCCCAGCTTTCCCCTGAAACCAGATTACAGTCAGCATACACAGAGTCCCAACATATAGATTGCAAAGGATGACATGCAGAATTCTGTTGTGTGTGAAAACTTGGAAAAGTTGCAAGCAATGTGATTAAATGATAAGGCTCTCCAGAGAGCAGGCCTGGAATGACATATACTTAAATGTGACCCCAACCCACGTGCTTCCCATCAGTACTGTCCTATAAAAATGGAACAGGGCAGTACTTCTTTTTGGATGGAGAGTTGGAGCAGATGGGCCTTTTAATCCCTTTTCAGCCCTATGATGCAAGAACATCAGAAGAGGTTCCACATTTACCCAGCATCCTCCTCTGCACTGGGGAAGGGCAGCAGGCGGTACCACCCTTTGAGAGGGGCTTTCTGCAAGGTATCCAAAGAGAACTCAACCTGCATGGATCAGAGACAGAGGAGAATCAGAAGAGAAGCCCAAAGGAGCAAGCAGCTGCAAAGGTAAAATGACAAACAATGGAATTAGAAAGCTACAACTCTGTCACTTCCATAACCATCCCAGGACCCTCACTCCAGTATAAGCGTCTTGCATGGAAGATGAAAGGCGTACCTGGAGGACGGACAGTGACACTGCAGTGTGGGACTCCAAGCCAAGGCTCTGCCTCCTTAAATTCCTGCAAGCTTCCATCTTATGGGATGGAAACTCTGCAGCCACTTCATTGCTTCTCAATAAGTTACTTGGCAGAATTCAAGGTTCTAACTATCACCTGAAAAGCCCTTAATGACACTCGACCCATGTACCTACAGGACCCCCTCTCCTGGCTATGCTTCACCATGACAGCTCCCCTCATCAGGGTGAAGTCTTCTGCCACCACCCTGCAAACAGTTAAAATTGGCAACTGTTCAGGTGCATTCCCTGTGGTGGCTCTCACGTTACGGAATGGTCTGCCCGAGGCTATTAGGAAGCCCCCACACACATACCCACACACTGCTATCATTTCACACAAATTGCATAACAGAACTGTTCAGGAGAGCATCCTTGTAGAGGGAGTAGAAGTGGGATGTAATAATGGATCCATTCACGAAAGTGACCTCTGTTAAGGATAAAGTGTTTTTGCTTCCAGTTCTCCAATCCCAGCCCCACTGTGTTATCCTGCTTTACTAGGAATCTTTGCTGCTAAATTCAAATGTTACCCATTCAAACATTAACCTATTTTGTCACCTGCTTACTTGTTGACTGAACAGTTCTAGTGTACTTGTTAATCTGCCTTGACCTGGATGGCCCAGGCTAGACCAATCTCATTAGATCTCGGAAGCTAAGCAGGGTCAGCCCTGGTTAGTACTTGGATGGGAGACCAGCAAGGGAGTCCAGGGTTGCTGTACAGAGGCAGGCAATGGCCAACCACCTCGTCTTCTCTCTCGCCTTGAAATCCCTGCAGGGTCACCATAAACTGGCTGCGACTTCACAGCACTTCCCACCCTCCCTTGTCATCTGCCTTGAGTCTGTGAGAAAGGCAGACTATAAACGGATATAAATAAACTGAGCGCTCCACAAGTCTGTATCATTTAGGTAATCGGTTAAGCTCACAACCCACCGTATTCCACGGGGGTGTGCATCGGAGCTCAGCTTCTGCTATCTGGGAACCTGCAGTGGCTATCTGCAACTCACTGGACCTAGATTCTGCCCCACCCATGGTCAGTCTCCTCCAGGTTTTTGTCCATGCCTTCCTCGCCACTCACCCGTCCCAGGAAGTCGTTCTTGCCCACCATATCCCAGTCCCAGACCTCTACAGTGAGGGGAGCTCCTCCAGCAGTTTCCTCTTCCAGGACAAACTCCAGAACCTCATCCCAGTGTGGGAAGCGGGTTTTCTTGATGATCTGTAGAGGCAAGAGAAGGTGTAAGATGCTCAGGCTCTCTTCTGCCAAATGCTCCCTCTAATTCCCCCCCCCACTGAGCACAGCAGTTCACATTCTGAGCAGAACATAACTACCGTAATCTTAAAATGGGCGATGGGCAGTGCAAGACCCTGCGCGGCTCCAGATCGCTGCAGAGCGGGGCTTCCTGTGTTAAGGAGTGGCTGCTCAGGTCCACAGCTTGGAGGAAGCCCTGCTTCTGCCCTATAAGGAGCATAATCATTTCCTGTAAGCTACTTTGGATCCCCATTGGGGAGAAAACCTGGGGTATAAATATCTAAATATACAGTCCATTTCCAAGGGCAGGCACACCATCCACTTAGTCTGTTAGGGTCTGAGACTGGACTCTATTCACATGGCAGATCTGAGCCGATGGGTAACTACCCTTGGGCTCAGCTACCTGTTACGTGTTTATTTTAAATGACACTTTTTCCCCTTTGCAAATTTAGCTCCCAGGACCAAGGAGGAGATTTGCATGGGGAGAGAGAGGGAAATGTTAACCATTTAATCCCCTGGCACTTTCTCCCTGGAAAAAGGCCTCCATCAGCTGCTTTCCCCGCCGCCACACTGAAGAATAAATATATGGTTGCCAACCTCCAGGTGGGGACTGGGGAATCTCCAAACTACAGAGAGAAAATGGCTGCTTTGGAGGGTGGAGCCTATGGCACCGCACCCTGCTGAAGTCCCTCGCCTGCCCAGGCGCTACCCCCAAATCTCCGGGAATGTCCCAAATAACCCTATAATATGGGTACCTATACATTTTTGCCAGCGATGGTAAAATCAGTTCAAGGTGACAAAAGTGGGGGATGAAAAAGTTAAAGATTCCCCCTTTCTCCCCTTACATTCTCCTCCCTGATAAGCAATCCAGGCAGTTAAATTGGCAAATAAAAAAAAACTTCCTTAAAATAAACAGGGAAGCAATCCTAAGGTGCACATGAGCCCACGGAAAGAAATCTCCCTGCCTTGGAACTTCAGCTGTTCTAGCCTAAGTTGAGCCAGTTCTGTGTGGCTACTTCCACACTCCGAATGTCAGTCTGGCACAGCATCATGAACGTCCTGAGCCCTAACACACCCAGAACAGAACTTAACCTACAAGGATGAATGCCTGGGAACAGGGCCAAGCCAGGGCTGTGTGTGAAACAAATCCGGAAATGTGGGTTCTTCGAAGGTTGGGCTTGAAGTGCAACACGCAAAAGGCTCTGCTCTATGGATCGCACAAGGGTGTCTTCCACGTGGGGACAGGTTTGTGTAGTTTCCATGTGGCGGCTGCAGCTGGTTATACAACACAACAGGCACAGGGCTTCCACACCGCAGGTTCCCCCAGTAGTTTTTTTTTTTAAGTCAGCGATTTAATAGAGTTATATCAATGGACTGTTATACCAAAATATGCAACCATTTCTCTGAATTTCCAGCTTTCAATTTAAAAAGTCCCTAGCCCATGTCATTGCAGAGATATGCTTCCCCCACATATATAAATGGGACGCAGACTTACATGTAAAAATATATATATAAGATCAAGGAAGGATTGTGAAAGAGTGGAGAAAAGCTGGGGGAACCCTGGGAGGTGCACAAATGCACAACAATGCTGTGGGGAAACAGGAAAAAAACCTGAACAGCATCGAACTCAGTGCAAGCATTCCATGCGGAAACATCCAAAAGCAGGCTGGGCTCCTTATATTTGTACCAGGCCCAGCCAATCCAGAGGCTTCCTGCTGTGGGCCAATCACAGACACCAATGCAGCCGACCCTTCTCTGTCCTTCAAGGGGCTATGGAATCTAAACATGCGTAGCTCACTGGGTTAGGTTCTGATCACCAGCTGTGGAACTCTTGGTTCAAGAACTGGACCTTCGCACTGTGACCAGCTTCCAAGAGGCGAACAGTTCCTACTGCTAGCTTGCACTGAGATGGCTGTGCTGTCAGGACACGCAGTCCATTAATGGGGGGGGGCTATCAGGAGGTTTAGCTCTCCCCCAGACCAGTGGTGAAGGCAGAGGAAAGAATGTTTCAGGCTTATACTCACAGCTGTTTCCAGGACTTGCCCATTCCACAACACGCGTGCAAAGGGGTCTGAGGTGCCCGAAATATCACGTGGTGCAAGGTCTCTAAGGGGAAAAAGAAGCCAGATGGGAAGTGGGGGTATTCTACAAGTTCCTAGCAACAACTAGAGTAGAGATTCAATTCCTAGAGAAGGGGATCACTTCCCTCTCCAAATGCACCTGAACCTGGTGTGTTTTTTTGCCATCAAGCCACAGCTGACTTATGGCGATACCACGGGGTTTTCAAGGCAAGAGACGTTCAGAGGTGGCTTGTCATTTGCCTGCCTCTGCATCACAACCCCAGTGTTCCTTGGTGGTCTCCCATCCAAATGCTAACCTGCACCAACCCTACTTGGCTTCAGAGACTAGACTGGGCTATCCAGGTCAAGACCCACCGGAACCTACTGAATCTCAAAAGGATGTGTGTTCCAGTTCTCCTCCATCCTTCATTTGCTAGCAAAATTCCCAACTTTGTGAAGGGTTCTAGCTAGGTGAAGAAGGGGGCTTAGATGTCGCAAAGAACCACTGTGATGTGTGTGGTGGTGGTGGTGGCAGGCTTGATCTCTTCTTGTGTAGTTGGAGCCCACAAACACAGCAGCTTCATTCACAATAACAGCAAACGTGTATACAATCTGTGTACAGTGAACATTTGATTTTTCTTTAGATGTGCATAGAATGCACCTGAACCTGGTGTGTTTTTTTGCCATCAAGCCACAGCTGACTTATGGCGATACCACGGGGTTTTCAAGGCAAGAGACGTTCAGAGGTGGCTTGTCATTTGCCTGCCTCTGCATCACAACCCCAGTGTTCCTTGGTGGTCTCCCATCCAAATGCTAACCTGCACCAACCCTACTTGGCTTCAGAGACTAGACTGGGCTATCCAGGTCAAGACCCACCGGAACCTACTGAATCTCAAAAGGATGTGTGTTCCAGTTCTCCTCCATCCTTCATTTGCTAGCAAAATTCCCAACTTTGTGAAGGGTTCTAGCTAGGTGAAGAAAGGGGCTTAGATGTCGCAAAGAACCACTGTGATGTGTGTTTGTGGGGGGTGGCAGGCTTGATCTCTTCTTGTATACTTGGAGCCCACAAACACAGTAGCTTCATTCACAAGTAACAGCAAACGTGTATACAATCTGTGTACAGTGAACATTTGATTTTTCTTTAGATGTGCATAGAGTAATTCTCACGTTACATTCAATGCATGTGCTGCTAAAAATGTGTGATCTAGCCTGAATGGGAGATCTTCTGGGAATCCTACACACTCTGCCCTGAGTTCTGTGATGCAAGAAAGGCACGATATAAAGATAAGAAACTGACTCGTTTTACACACAGAAACACATGTGTCTGAGCTTGACTGCCAATAAAAAGAAACCCAGTTTTAGAACAACATCCAATGTGTGTCTTCTTTTATTCTTCTGCTGTAACTGGTTAATTCTGACACACTTTGTGTACTCCTGTAATTTGATTTCCCTTTCTGGGATTGGCGGCTTGACAGACATTCGTCTCCCAACATCATCTCCCCTACCACATGGGCAATTGATTTCTTACCACTAGCTGGCACTGCCTTGGGACCAGATTCAGAGGAAAAGTTAACACATCCAGACATCACAAAACGTAAAGCAGTCATTTCCTAAGCAGGCTGAGGGACTCTTAATTCAAAACCCTTTGACCCATCTTCAGAACAGAGTCCCAAAGCAAACAAACACAGGCGATGGACTCTGTGAAGTTTACAGAGGAATGCCAACAGCCCCAGTTCAACCTTATGCTGGTATATAACACCATCTCTGACCGTACCACTCACTCACTACAGCTGCTCCCTCTCCCACATAGACTCTGCCATCTACCCTTCCTCCATTGGCCATCTGGTTGCCTAGGTGCCCATTTCAGTTTCCAGGGAAGCAGGATGCTTTCTCTGCTCTGATTAACTGTCTCTCCAGTGAGACACAGCGCAAGACCAGGACAGAGTTGTTTTCCACATCTAGCCCCCCTCCCATCAAGCCTTCCTTCAGCGCCGTACAGCAGAGTGAGAAATCCCAGCTAGGGTGGTTCTTCCTACCACTTCATTTTGAAAATGAGAGGTACTGTATACGAGCAGATAGGGAATTAAAAACAAAAGCAAGTATCAGTGCCTCCCAAACTAGGTGCCATCTTTTCTCCAGCATCCCTTACAGCTCATGACATAAGAGCTCTGCTGGATCAGACCAATAGTCCATCTAATTCAGCATCCATTTCCCATACTGGCCAGACAGATGCCTTCCACAGGCCTATAAGCAGGGCACAGGGACCAAAGCCTCCCCAACCCATTTTTTTTGTCCTGAGCATGCAGCCTGATGAAGCATTCTAGAGACCCCGCACACTAGTTGGTGGCATTGCAATCTGTCCTGATCAAAGATACCACTCTGCTGCTGATCAAAGTCAGTATTGTCTACTCAGACTGGCAGCGGCTCCCCAGGGTCTCAGGCAGAGGTCTTTCCCATCACCTACTGCCTGGTCCTTTTAGCTGGAGATGCCGGGGATTGAACCTGGGACCTTCTGCATGCCAAGCAGCTGCTCTGCCACTGAACCACAGTGCCTCCCCATCAGCTACTGAGTTTAATACAAGGTACTGACTATCACATACAAAGTCCTGCATGGCCTTGGTCCCTCCTATCTACAGACCTCCTCCTCCTCCTATCTTCCACCACGACAACTCCCCCCATCTGCCCAGGGCCTTCTGCCAGTGCCAGGCTACAAATGGGCAAGATCAAAAACCACCCGCACACTTCCCTTCTCTGTAACAGCCCCCACCTTGTGGAACGGACTGCTTGAAGAAATCAGGAGGGCTTCCAAGCTCCCGTTATTCTGCAAACTATTTAAAATGGAAAAGAGCAAGAGTCCAGTAGCACCTTAAGAACATAAGAGAAACTAATGTTGGATCAGGCCAATGGCCCCTCCAGTCCAACACTCTGTCACACAGTGGCCAAAAATACCAGGTGCCACTAGGAGGTCCAGCAGTGTCTGAAGAACTGAGCAGTGACTCATGAAAGCTTATCCCTTGCCACATATTTTGTTAGTCCATAAGTTGCTACTGGACTCTTGCTGTTTTCTGCTGCTACAGACAAACTAACATGGCTACCCATCTTGATCTATGTAAAATGGAGTTGTTCAGGAAAGCTTTTCTAGAAAGGTAGGAGGGCTACATTACAACATAAGGGTTCAGGAAGGCACTTTATGAAGAGAAAGGGACTGTGGATTATACCACTGTATCGGACGTATTATCAGTTTACTTCACGCATTACCCTGTTGTCACTTCATGGTTTTCTACTGACGTAATGCCATTTTTCTTCATTACATCCACACTCTGTATCAAGTGCGTTCATATTTCGGTCATCCTAGGATGGTGCTCATTCAATGCCTCTTCTTGCCTTACACTGTGCTTATTGGACATCTTTTTGTATGGACTCTTTATTGACTAACACTGTGTAATCCCCTTTGAATCATGGAAAGAAAGGCAGATGATACACACAGTAAATAAATAAGTAAAATTGTGAGGGGGGGGGAGTAAATATATTTTGTCCTGACAAATGAAGCCTTATCTGAAGAGAAAGTTCAGCTCAAAACGAGGACACCCAGGAACACTTTCCACCCCCCACCACCCACTACCCCCTTTGCCAAGCTTTACACAATTTGGAGTTCTTTTAATTTTTTTATGAGCTGTTAATTATCTCACTTCATAAAGGACTCTGGAGAGGGGGAGGGTCAAAGAATTCACACTCCCCTTTCAGCACCCACCAACACCTTTCTTACTACAGCACTCTTGCTGTTCACACGTGGGGAAGTGAGAACTTTCAAACACTCTGTCTATTTTAAAAGAAGTGGCAATTATCAGTAAAGCTGGCCCGCACCAAAGTCCCACCATTTGGCGATGGGGGCCTTTTTTTTTGCCTTGTTCACTGTGCAAATTGATAAGGAGTGACACCGTGGATTTCTGTTGGCTTAGACTGCAATAATTGCTCAAAAGCTGAGCAATCCCTTCTCCTGTCTTGGGGGCACAGTGTCCCCGATTCTACATAAGAAGAGTCTTCCTGAATTGGAACAAAGTCCGTCTAACCCACTTTCCTGTTTCCCACAGCACCAAGCCAGATGCCCTGGCAGACCTTCAGGCTGGACACAGACGCCAAAGTCTCCTCTTGTCTTTGCTCCCACCCCAGCAACTGGCACTCATGGCTAGTAGCATTTGCTGGACCCACCCTCCCTGGATGAAGCCCTTTTAAAAACCATTTAAGTAAGTAGCCACCATTGCATCATGTGGCAGTGAGTTCCATAAGTCCATTAGGTGAAGATTTGTCCTTTTGTCGCTCACCCTTAACAGAGGCAGCTGTAGAGAAACATGCTGTTGTGTCCCTTCCCAGCCTACTCAGAGTGCCATGACTCCCCCTAGAAGAGGACGGGGAGGAGGAGAAACAGCGCTACTGCCCTCTCCTACCTGGCTTCGATGACATGGCAGCAAAGCACCCGTCTGTGGGCCTCCTTCAACACCTGAAGCTCCAAAGAGATCTCACCCTGCACCTCCTCATTGGGGTCCACATGGCTCAGGTTGATCCAGCTGTCGATGCCTGCAACAAGTAGAAAACATGCCAGAATTGGGTTCCAGTTGCCATACAGTTGGCCACTGTTGCACACTAGGGATGGGTCCGAACTGGGAAAATGCAGTTCGGTTCGTGATGTGCCTCATTCGTGAACCACAGATTGTCACAAATTTTTAGTCATCTCACTAACTGGTTTGGTTTGTGAGATGGTAGAATGGCCCCCTGGTATGCTAGAGACACCAAACGTGCAGGGGATCTCTGACTGACTCTCCTCTACCTGCTCACCAAGTTTGGTGAGGACTGGATTTACAGGGTCTGACGTACAGCCCCACAAAGGAGGTGCCCCCAGGAAACTGCTTTCTGGGGAAAGAACAGTTTGGTGTCTCTCGCTTGCACAGGATCTGTTCTATACACTCCTAAATCTCGGTCTTTTTGACAGGTGCAGGTTTAGGAATGTATAGAACGGATCCTGTGCAAGCTAGACACATCAAAGTCACGGGTGACCTCCCCCAGATGCTCGTCTACATACCTTCCATGTTGTTGGAGTTCTGTAAACATTTTGACTGAGCGGAGACAGTCTGTCTCGAAATGTCTCTGCTCACCAACTGTCAGGAACCTCCACCAACAGCTTGAAAGTTTGTGGAAAGTTCATGCCGGGTAACCTGCCACGAACTTGACTTCGTGAAGCAAGAACCAGCCAAAATTTGCCCCCGAACTTTAGCTTGTGAGCTGGTTTGTGCCCATCCCTATTCCCCAGTCTGGCATCACAATAGAGGCACTCTACTCGGAGGCACTCTACTTATGACAGCCAGCTGCTGAGTGAGGCTCTGATAGGCCATGGTAGAAGACAGAAATCTGGATGGTGGGCCACTGGTCCAATCTAGCATGCCTTACAAAGCTGAGAATCTCTGCAGAATGAATCTCAACCTCACCCCCCACTCCTTTCTATTAAGCTAAAATAAGTAATACAATATGGATCAAATGCAGATACTCCACCGAACACTACTTGCAAAATGGTACTTGTGGGCTTCAGCCCATCTGTGACAGCCAGTGTGGTGTAGCAGCTGGAGTGTTGGGTTAGGTCCAGGAAGATATGGGCTCACGTCCCCATGAAGCTCATTGGGTAACTTGGGGCTAGTCACTCTTTCTCAGTCTGATCTACCTCATAGGGTTGTTGTGAAGATAAAATGCAGGAGGGAAAGGAAACATGAGAGCTGTGCTGAGATCCTTGGAGGAAGAATGGGATAAAAATGGAGAAAGATGTAAGCAACCAACCCAACAAGGCCTATCCCTAAAACACAGAGCGGATTGGTTGAAATGGAAAGACAAGCAGAGATATAACAATTTCTTTAAAATGCCTCCTTCTTTGTAAGAGCAGTGGTTCTCAAACTATAGGTCAGAGCCCAGAAGTGGGTCACGCATGCTTTTCTCACAGGCAGTTCAAGGCCAGGAAGGAGGAGGTAGGGGAGGTAGAAAATGAGGCTCCGGAAGGCTCAGTGGCATATTTGGGTTTCTACCTGCATAATGTGCAAAAGGACTGTAACATATAGCCTGCTGCTCTGTGTGCATGTGTGTGCACTACACATGAAGAAGAAAACACAAACTTGTTCTGTGTTCATTGTTGTGAGACTCCCTGGTGCTTGGGGTCAACAGTGGGAGGGCTTCTAATGTCCTGGCCCCACTGGTGGACCTCCTGATGGCACTGGTATTTCTGGCCACTGTGTGACACAGAGTGTTGGACTGGATGAGCCTTTGGCCTGATCCAACATTGGCGTCTCTTATGTTCTTATGTTCCTGTGAAATTCCTGCAATCTATATTGGGAAGGAAAGTGGCATGGAGTCAGGCCCGTAGCCAGGATTTCTTAATTCAGGGGGCCTTTAAATAAGTCAGGGGGCATTGATAAAATAAAAATAAAATAAAATAAACTCACACTTGCAGGCAGGAGCAGGGCTATTTCCCCTATTGTGGAGGGTGGGTGTAAGTGGAAATCAGTCACTGACTCCGAGTAACCTGAGGAGGATCCCCTCCTCCTCTCTGTGGCAGCCCGCCCGGGGAGACAAGCCAAAGGAGGAGAGGTGGGAGAGCAGACAGGATGGAGATGGCTGCTCTGCTGCTGGTGGTGGCTTGTGTGCGCCCTGCGTTGGTGCAACTGGGCTGGACTGAGAAGGCGGGAGCTGAAGGAAAAACCCGGGAGGGGAAGCTGAGGGAGTGCTGTGTTTCTCTCTCCCTTGGCGGCCAGCTTCCTTGGCGATGAGGGCACAGGCACATGCAAGTGAGCGAGGTCTGCAATCTTGCACTGGAGGGAGAAGGGGAGAAATCTCTGTAGTTGCAGGTTCGGCCACAGGACCCACAGCCCCCTGGGCCCCGCCCTCACCTGCCAGCCCGCTCACCTGGCTGCCTTGCACCGCTTCATGCCGTTGCTTAGGGATGTGCATTCGGTTCGTCTGAGCCGAATACACCCCCAAACATGGCCCACTCGGGCCCCTTTCGGGCTGCTGTGGGCCGATTCAGATTCTCTGATCTGAATCGGCCCCAGTATATCCTATGGGCCATTGAAGTCCTATATCCTATGGGCTGGAAGGGAGGTGGTTTGAGGGGGAGACTCTTTTCCCACCATAGAGAACAATGGAGGGGATGGGGGCAACCTGTTTGGAGGCCCGTAGAATTGGACCCCCAGTCTAATGTTCTTGAAACTTGGTGGGTATCTTGGGGAGAGGCTCCATCAGCTACCCTGCGAGTTTGGATTCTCTCCCTCAAACCACCTACCCTCCAGCCCCCTAGAATATACCCTATGTTTTCACCATTGACTTCAATGGCCCATAGGATACAATGGAGCTGAAATTGACATTTGGCTGGTGGAAAGACTCCCCAATGGGCTCCTACTGCCGAAACTGACACGCCGGCCAAAATTGATTCTGCCCGATTCGGCTGCCAGCCCAGGATGGAGCCTGTGGGGCTGCCGACAGGTGGGGAAGTTGTGGGGCCTTGGTAGGAAGTCTGGGCCCCAGAATGCTTCAATGTAGCAACGGGCCTGCATGGAGTTGGCTTTGCAAGAATGTCCCAAACTAAGCCTAGATGATTCCAAAAAATACAGCAAGTTTAGAAGTGTGTCCTATGTCAGAAGTCTGAAAACTACCATTCAAGAGTATATCAAATCAAATCAAAATATAGTGGACAATACAGCAGAAGTAGAAAAGGGTAAGAGTTCAGTAGCACCTTAAAAACTAATGAACTTTGTGGTAGGGTATGAAGTGCATGAAGCTCACGAAAGTTCATCCCCTGCCACAAATTTTGTTAGCCTTTAAAGTGCTACTGGACTCTTATTCTTTTCTACAGCTACAGACAGACTAACACTGCTACCCATCTTAATACAGCAGAGAACACGATCTCCAGCCAAAAGCATTTCCTCATTAGAGCACTAGGGGGCACTAGACTCCAGTAGAACTGCTCTGGTCTATTCCATCATGGCCTTGGCATATTTTTAAAAATTAATATTGTATTGTAATCTCCCCCCCCCATTTTTGACCATTTTTAGCACTGACGTGTTACTGCGTGTGTGCAGTGGAAGGGAGCAATGTCTTCTCTAGTATAGAAGCCTAGATTCTGCATCCAGCCTCCTGTCCCTCCTCCTTGCACATCACAAGTTTATTGATGTACCCTATCTTCCACTGCTCTCCTCTCCTCCATTTTATTCTCACAACAACCTTGCAAGGTAGGTAAGGCTGACAGTGTGTGACTGATAGTCCCAAGGTCACCCCCAGCAAGCTTCTTTCTCAGCAGAGTAGGGATTCCAGCCTGGCTCTCCCAGATCCTATTCCGACATTCTAACCACTCCACCACATTGGCTCTCAGTTGGAGCAGATGGTTTGCTGCCTCCTGCTGGAACAAAGGTCCCCTGGCCACCAATACCTACCCCGTGGGTGGGATGCAATGTACTCTCTACTGAGCGAGACTTTGCCGATGACATCATCGTGCCTGCAAAAAATCAAGAACAGAGATGGCACACAATGGGGTTTGGAAAAAGGAATGGTATGAGCTCTTGAGAGCCAAAGATTTGAGGTGGGTCCACAGCTCACTCATGGAGCACATGCTTTGCATGCAGAAGGTCCCAAGGTCAGTGCCCTGCATCTCCTGTTAAAAAGAACCAGGTAGCAGGTGATGTGACAGACCTCTGCCTGAGACCCTGGACAGTTGCTACCAGTCTGATAAGGCAAGACTGACCTTGGTAGGTCCAAGTTCTGACTTAATATAAAGCAGCTTCACATGTGTTCATGCGTGCGATTAGGCTTGTAGAAAACGCAAGGGCACACCACTATGTATGTGACAGAGAAGAAATCAAGGTGTTGAGTAAATCCATCATCATCATCATCATCATCATCATTATCTGATCCTGATGCATTTTGCCTGTGACTTTGTCAGGGGATCTATTGCATAAACCTCCAGTCTCACTTTGAGCAGCTTCACATGTGTTCATGTGTGTGATGTGCATCTGCTATGTGCCAGAAAACAACAATCCCTTGGCTTAACTACAAGTTCGTTAGTACTGCTAAATAAAATATAGAAATGAAAACGTAATGAAGTATTCAACATGTTCCATTTTACAGTATTACTAAACCAATAAACAAACACACACACAAATACACAGTCATCTGGCATGCCTCTCACTCAAAACTCTGCTTCTGGTGCAATGCATCCTCCTCTCCAGTAGAGGCACACCACACACTGACCAGCTGTTACTTTGTCCTCACACACCACCTCCCACTCCCTGTGACTACCCCGGTCCTGCAGACCAGATGTGAGTTGAGAGTTCTATGTTGAAACTTAATTCTCAGGCACGTGGGGGGAGCTTTATGGATTGGGGCCATGCAGACAGGAAGCTTAAACCAGTCCTGCTTTCTGCACCCAAAGGCCTCAGGGAGCTGCTATTTGCCCCACTGCAGAAACTTACACACAGCCCATCAGTGCAGTAAGCTTCAGCAACAGGGCCAGAAATGGCTTCCCCTGGGCCCATTGAGGTTCAGTAAACGGCACAGTGGGGAGGATTAAGTCGCTTCTCCCCACATGCTATGGCCCTTGTATTAAGTGAGCCCCACATGTTGGGGAATTGAGTTCTGACCATGGAATTCCCAGGACAAGATTGATTGACAAAACGGGGGAGGGGAGCGCGAGAATGACATAATGTGTTGGTAGGCCTCTGAGAGAGTTCTGCAGGACAGATGGAAGCAACGGCTGGTGTCTGTGTGCAGAGAAATCCTGGCATCTCACCACGTCTGATTCACAGGGGAGGCTTCTAAAGGAGGACTTTAAAGGAGATACCAGGTTTGTGAGCTCCCGGTGGTCCAGCTCCCACCTGGAGGGAGGAAAGCATCCAGGGAGGGACTCGGCTGCCTCCTCCGTTGGCTTTGGCACCTGACATCTGCTTGTCTATGAAAGATGCAGAAGGATACATCGAAGAACGTAAAGCAGGAAGGATGGGAGGATCCATCACTAACCCTCCCAGCCTTCCAAATCTAGGGCCCAGAGAAGTACCAATACGGTTTCTCTGCAATGCTCCCTCTAAGCTGTGGAGTCTGGTGAGCAAAAATTCTACTCTGTGAGCTACTGGCATTGAAGTTGTGAGCGAGCAATTTGGCTACTGAATAAATCAGTTTGCTCTGGAGCCCTCCTTCCCGAGCGAAGACAACAATATGTGAGCCGGAGGCTAAAAAACTGTGAGCTAGCTCACACTAACTCAGCTTAGAGGGAACACTGGTCACAAATATCTACTGCGGGTGCTCTCCTGGTGCTGTGGGACTCCGCCAAGGACCCCTGCAGGGGAAGCACCAAATCCCTCCACTCACCAGACAACACTGTTGCGTGGTCCATTTGGAATCCTCATCCTGGAGGACTGTTTCCCCCTAGAACTCATGTGAAACCGGGTGAGGGGGGGATGGCAAGGAAAACCCATCCTCCTCCCCCTGTCTTTTCCCACACAACATCATTAAGCCCTCCACTTAAAAAGGATGGAAGAGCAGGAAAGCTGCCCTGTTTCTCCAAAACAGCTGCCCTGCTACTTCTGTAAGCAACGGATGGCTCCAGGCACCTTTGCTGTCTCTGACCCCTCACTTAATACATAAAGGGGTACGGAAAGGGTTCCTCCTTCTCTTCTCTCTTGCAACCCCCCCAAAAAAAACCCGTCAGCCTTTTTAAAAAAAAATTCCACTTCCCCAGCAACACCACCAGAGAGAAACAACCCACAATTTAGCTAGCAAAATTGGGAGCCCTGCCCTCCATACTCTGCGGATGCGCTACGGCAAGGGCTGCTGGGGAGGGCGGACGACGGCCAAGAAATGCATTTCAGTGGCAGTGGAGGAGAGAAAACGCACCTCCTTTCCAGCCACCCAGAATTCTTCCACCCACACTTTTAAACTCAAGGCTCACTTGCTGTGCCAAGGAGAGGCCTTGGCTCGGTGGCAAAACACCTGCTTTGCATGCAGAAGGTCCCGGGGTCATCTTCTGGCATCTCTCCTTTAACACATCTCAGGGAGCAGGTGTTGCAGAGGATGTTTCTCTGCCTGAGCCAGCCACCCCCAGAAAATAGTCAGTGCTGAGACAGATGAACTGACACTCTGGCTCAGTGGTAGGTAGGGTATATAGGAGCCATCGGCACAGCTGGAGATCAAATGCCAAACTAGACATGCCCATTGCCTGATGATGCAAGACACTGTGCTTCTAATACAAAAGTTCCCAGGTTCGGTCTCCAGATAAAAGAAGGCTCTGAAATCACAGGGATCAAGAGCACCTTTCTTCGCTTGAGACTCGCAGTCCTTCAGAGAAGATTGTACTGAATTAGATGGACCTGTGGTCTGAATCAGTTTAAGACTACTTTGTTTACTTTGGCCACCAAATGGGAAGGGAGCACTCACTAGAGAGGACCTTGATGCTGGGAAAGATTGAAGGTAAAAGAAGAAGAGGATGGTAAAGGAGGAGATGGTTAGACAGTGTTATCGATGCAATGAACATGAAGTTGAGCGAACTCCGGAGGACGGCAGAGGACAGGAGGGCCTGGCGTGATGTGGTCCATGGGGGTCACTAAGAGTCGGACTTGACTGTGTGACTGAACAACAACACACTGCCACCCTCCCAAATACAGTTGGCACAAAAATAAGTGATGCACTATGCAAGCATGAATTCTCTTATATTTGCACAGGGGAATGCAAAAGGTCTCTTCCTTGGCTTTTCAGAGCGACATGAGAATTCTCTCAACACATTTATGCATTTAGAAACACCATCAGTATTAGTTGGAAGAAAAAACTGCAATCATTTCAGGTCAGTCAGTTTGACATTCCTGGCCAGAATCCTCCAGAATTTGGAAGTCAGAGGACCAGTCCCTTTCTTCTGCCTACCATAAGCTCTGAGTCCTTCTGCACTCCCTCCAACTGAGCAGCTCAACACTGTGTCCTCTTTGACCATATGAACTGTGGCTCTGCCTCCAAATTCTAGACTCCATCCCTCCCTGCCATCTCTGCTTCAGGTCACCTGTATCATTTCCTAAGCATTGGGGGTCTGACCCTGAAAAACATGCAGGTTTGGACAGCCTGAAAGAGCTACATTTGGCAGCATCGCTGGCTGCGTGTTACCTGCTGGCAGGAATAGTCACTTTGCTTCCAGAAAATGTCAACTCCTACTCTGCCCAGAATTTTCATGTGCAGAAAGACTTGGGGGAAGGCCACTAGCTCAGTTTGGTGTAGTGGTTAAGTGCGTGGACTCTAATCTGGGAGAACCGGGTTTGATTCCCCACTCCTCCACTTGCACCTGCTGATGTGACCTTGGGTCAGTCACAAGCTCTGGCACAGCTGTCCTTGAAAAAGAGCAGTTTGTGTCAGAGTTCTCTCAGCCCCACCCACCACACAGGGTGTCTGTTGTGGGGAGGGGAAGGGAAAGGAGTTTGTCAGCCGCTCTGAGACTCCGTGAAGGGCGGGGTATAAATCCAATCTCTTCTTCTTTTCTTCTTCTTCTTCTTCAGTGGAAGAGCACATCCTACACACGAAGAATGCACCCAGGTTCCATCTCTGACATCTTCAGCGCAAAAGACTTCAGGTCGCAGGAGTAGAGAAAAGACCTTTGCTGGAGACCTTGGAGAGCGGCTGTGAGTCACCGCAGAGAGGGCTTGTTGGTGAAATGAACCACGCAGTCTGTTTCAGCATGGGGGAAATGGGGGGGAAAACCCAGAATAAAAAGAAGGCAGCTTTGCGTGTTCAAAGATGAGCAAGAAGAGGGGAGGGTGGCAGGTCCACAGCTGCAATCCGATGCACCCTAACCCCTCCAAACACAAAGGGGCTCATTTCCAAAACAAACTTGCCCAAGGCTGTACCGCATCATAGTTCCTTCCAATGTTATGTTTTACGCAGGTTTGTACTGCAAATAAGCAATGTGACTTCCTTCTCGTATAATAGGATTACCTTCCTGACAGCCCCTCCAGTGCACACGGAAATCTCCTCCACCGGACCCGCCTGGAACAACTGAAACAATTGCACTTGCCAGACAAAAAATTAGACACAGAGATTAATTTAACAGCCAGGCTGAAGGCAACTCCAGGGAAGGATCTGCTCAGGGCCAGACTGCCAAATTTGTGTCCTGGGGCTTTCCCTCCTCCCTTATGTTTTGCATAGCATTACGAAGGCCTCAACAGAAATTAATCTCATGAAAATTAACACATAAAATTATTTGATACTTTATGTACTTGTAACTGCATTTGTTTTCCATCATCCTTTGCTAGCAACTCTCCTTTACCCTGTGTGGTCTCCCCCCTCTTCACCATCTACATTTAGACTGTAAACTCCTTGGGGCAGGGACCAGTCCGTTTTCTTATATGATTCTTTTGAGGTAACATGAACCTGTTAGAGGTTCTGGTGCATTTACATGGTCTAATTGTTTCTGGAAAGACTTTGGAGGAGCACAAAGAGAGACTCTTAAAAGTCCTTGACTGGTGGGAAGTGTCTGACTCGAAGCTGTCTCTAGGTAAGTGCTAATTTTGCCAGACTTCGGTAAAATACATGAGGCATATTGTATCTGAAGAAGGAATTGCTACTGGCCCTGCTAAGATATAAACCCCTGGCCAAGGCCTGTTAATCTCAAAACCCTACAGTCATTTTTTGGTTCCTGTGGCCATTATAAACTATTATAACAACAAATTCCTCTAAGAACAACTTCCTGTAGACATGTAGGCTGAGGGATTAGATCCATGTCTGTGAGAGCCACTGCAGTATAGTGGCTAGAACGCCAGATCAAGGAAACCTGGTTTCAAACTCCTGCTCAGCTAATAGGTGACCTCGATCCAGGGACACGTTCTTTCTCAGAAGAAAATAAAAGATGGAGGGAACCATATAAACCACCCTCAGCTCTTCAGATGAAGGGGGGGGAGATCATATGCCTTCCCTGATTTACTGAGTGGCAAGAACTTCCAGGAACCCAACTACACGTTACAAAAACCATGTGTACTGATGGAGTATATGTAGGTTTCCCCAAAGGGGTAAACAGCATACTGCTGGGGCCATTTCAGATTGGGAAAACAGCTTTGGGAGGGACACGCAAACATATTCTCCCGCCTGCTGTAGTCCAGATCCAAATTGGGACCCTGTGAGCCTGGGAAAAGACTTGTTCCCAGGGACTTGTGAAATGTCTGACTGAAGGTCCATGTGGTAAGCCAGACACAACTCAGGCACGCTGCTTGCATTTGTTCCCTTTGGAGGAGAGGGCGCTAGAGTCTTACAACATTTTTGAAGGCATCTTTACCTACAAATATATGAGCAGAGAATAGGTGGAGGCAAAGAGGCCCTTGGACAAGGCAGCAAACCTGCTGTCCCAAAGAGACAAAGAAGGAAGTTCCTATACTCCAAAGTGTTTCAGCCAACCCGCTGTTGTCTCTGTTTCTCTGTCTGTTCCAGACTCATACCTACAATTTCCTCTGACAGGGAAGGCTCACTTCCTCCAAACTCTGATGGGTACTGATGGTCAATGGACCATCTCCCAACCATTTAAGCCAAGGAGGAACACTGAGGTGTGTACCATGAGGTGTGTCACTCTGAGACTAGCGCCATAGCAACAGGCCCATTCACAGCAATCAGGCCACAAACCCGCAACACTACTATTGATAATCTATGCATCTAATAATGATGTGTGGCTTTCATCTGTCGATATCGAAATCCATGGATCAGGACCACACTGACACTAAATAGTTTTTTCCTGCAAACTTGAGAAACCAAGAGTCAGAGAAGTAGGGGGAGAAGGGAGGAAACAAAGGTGTGTGTGGGGGGGAATGGGATGGCTGCTCCCCCTTTGTACCTCCCACTTGTACTACATCACACTAATAATATTACTACCGATGGTGTTACATGCACTGACATCAACACATGTAGAGGGAGAGTGAGCATGAGCATGGTGGTCTCCCCCCACACACACACTTATGCATGATCAATTGCTCATGAGTACAAAATCTGTGCATGTGGGAGCACATGCTTGTCCTAGAAAAAGCAGTGTTCCTAATCACAGGGATGGCTCCTAGGTATGTACACTTGCCTTGCGCATAGACCCTGTGATCCTGAGCCAGTAGTCTTAAGTAGGCATGGGGCCATGGCCAGTGCGCTCATGCATGTTCTACCTCTATGCATGTTGCTTTTGACAAATTTCATGCGGTCTGTAGAGGGATCATATGATGATTATATGGGACCTTCACAAAATTCAATCTGACAAAGGACTTGCCACATCTCTCTTCCCTACTTACCCAATGGTATCTTCATCAAGCATATAGAAAGAGAGGTTGTGGAACCCCATGGGCAAGTGCAGGGTATATTCCTCTCCCCAGAAAGGGTTCAGATTTCTCCACACAGTTGCAGTCCTGCAAAGAAGATGCATGGAAACGTCAGCGCCCAGAAGCCTGTGGTCTTTTGTGGTGGCATTTATAACAAGCTTGACCAATCCAGAGGCTTCATACTGCCTGCCAATCACAAGGGCCAATGTGGTACAACCTTATTCCCTTCTGAACTATTAGGCTTGTGTAGTTTTTTTAGACCTCAGGGTTCAAGCCCTAAGATCCTGGATACTAGCTGAGAACTGGTTCATACATGCAAGAGCATGAGAAGGTTAAATGTTGGGGACGTTGAAACAGGATTCTACCACAGGGGGTGGGTACCAGCTCTGAATGCTCCTCCATACAAAAAAAACAAAACCCTTCCCTGAAAACAGAAAGCCAGGAGTGGAAGGTTCTACTGACTCTCTTTGCTTGCTGAGCTATTTTTCTATTTGCAAGTAACCTTTTAACAGAACGGAGCATTCCAAAATGCCCATCTCTGCCTGCAGTCTGAAGCGATGCAATCCATTCTGACACATCATTCTCTTGCATGTGTGAACCAGACTTTAAGGTGTTGCTAAAGGGCCTCGCCCAGACTTGGATAGCCTGGGCTGGCTCAATCTCAGAAGCCAAGCAGGGTCAGCCTTGGTTAGTATCTGGATGGGAGACCACCAAGGAATTCAAGGGTAGCTATGCAGAGGAAGGCACTGGCAAACCACCACTGAATTTCTCTTGCCTTGAAAACTCTACGGAGGTCACCATAAGTCAGCTGTAAATTGATGGTAAAAAAATTGGGGGGGGGGTTTCTTGGATGCTAGAGTGGAACATTCTGACTCCTCCAGGTCAGAACAACCCCCCCCAAGTTATCCCAACACAGCCAGGAGTTGTATATTGGACAAGGAGCCATAGGGCCCCAACCTCACCTCTCCTGCACCAGCATAATCACTTACTCATTCCGCGAAAAAAATCTTTACAGCTCAATCTTCTGCCTTCTTCAGGCCCTTTAAAATGTCGTTAACTTCGAGCAAATATTTGAGATGAGAAGGGAGTGTCAAGGCAACGCATGGGGCAAGAAGAAGCTCCTATCAGCTTAACAAGATCTCAGGAAGAGGATCAGGACTCCTTATGCCCTGGGCACTGCACAGTGCCAAACAGCTGCCAAGCTGGCACCAGTGAAGCAATACCCAGAAAGGAAAACAGAGAGGGACAGTATTCTCACTCCCAGAGGGGAAGACAGCCAGCATGGTGTAGTGGTTAAAAGTGTCAGACTAGGACCTGGAAAACACAGGTTCAAATCCCCACTCTGCCATGGGAACTTGCCGGGTGTCCTTGGGCCAGGCACACTGTCTCAGCCTGACCCACCTCACAGGATGGTTGTGAGGATAAAAGGCAGGAGAGGAGAATGATGCAAGCCACTTTGGGGTCCCTATTGGGGGGAAAGGTGAGAGATAAAATAAATAAACATTTTGACCCTGAACTGGAAATCTACACATTGAATAAAGCTCTGGAAACAATATCAGTCTTGGGGAAGGGCCAGACCACACATGATGCTGGGGGTGCAGGACTGGCTTTGCCCTCCACCCCACCAGGGCATAATCTGGCTGCCATGAGTGAGGAGCGCAATCCGGATGAAGGCTATGTCACTTGAACATTTACTTAGGTACATAGAGGCTCGCGGTGCTTTCTCTCCCCAGTCCTCCCAGAGAGCTCCTTCTGTTGACTTGCAGCCCTGTGAGGAGGCTGGGGCAGAAAGGCGCTTCCCTGACCCCCCCCCCTTAGGCGGGACGTTTGAACCTGTCTCCGATGGCCTGCTGCCACCAACCCTGGTTTTGTTAATGGCCCTTTGTACCTGGCACTGCCCAGAGGTACGATGCCAAAGGAGGATTTCACAGTAGCGTTGGAAAATAACCTTGGCCGTGAGTAAGGAATTGTGCAAGGCTCCTTAGTTAAACAACTTTATTACTGCAAGGCACAAACTCATCAAGTAACTACAAGACAGTTCTAGGTACAGCTGAGTAAATAAAAGAACATGAAAGAAAGGTTGCTGGCTGGGTAACTTAAAATACCTGAACATCTGGTCTAGCCTCAGTGGAAGGCTGGCTGCTGAAGCCCCCAAGGATGCCCCTGAAGGCAGCAAGCAATAACTCTTCCCCAATCTCACCCATCTACCTTCCTTGATTTGTTTTATTTCTTTAGCCACGTTATTTTAGTCTGTCTTTCTCACTGGGACAAGGCGGAATACACAGACTGAGTCATTACAATCTACAGGAGGAGACTATCAGTGAACAATGCAATAGGATTGCGGGTGTAGGCCCAACCAGAAGTCTAAAAAACAGAACTGAAGCAAAGCATAAGTATTAACATGACACATTAAATGATGCAAACTTACACATAGTAGGATCTGACTTACAGCAAACCATACATGGGGGTATAGACCACAGTTTTGGGGCCCCACCTTGTGGAAAGACCTGCCTGAGGAGATCAGGAAGTCTCCCCCTCTCCTGGCTTTCCACTAGGGCTAAATGAAAAATGGAAAAGAACTGTGACAATTTAGCGCTTAATAATATATTCATAAATCATAATGTACAATAACAGAAATATAAATAGAAATAGTGAATGTAGTAGACGGTGGTCTCCGGAATGATGTGCCGTTTCGAAGATGATCTTCTTCTGAACAAGGAGGTGTACATAAACTGTCTTTCAACAATTCATTTCTTTTGGTGACGTATTTACAATATATTGTTGATTAGCTATGTTCTTCAATGGGCTATGGTTGCTGAATGCCTCCTGAAGGCTCTGGGCCACGCCCCCAACGTGAGTGACGTGGCTGTGGGGGGGCGGGGGGGCGGAGTTTCCCCCGGGGCCCAATTCCGCCGCAGCAGAAATCGGGCCTCCAAAGCAGGGGTTTCCCTGCCCCCCGTCCCCACTTGGCAGCCCTAGTGGAAAGCCAGGAGAGGGGGAGCCTTCCTGATCTCCTCAGGCAGGTCTTTCCACAAGGTGGGGCCTACAACTGAGACGGCAAGTGGATGGGCAATTGTCTTTCCTACCATTTGCTGGTGTGCACCTGAAGGCCCTGATCAGACAAGTGAAATTGTCATGGCAGAGCACAAACGGAGAGACAGTCTTGCAGATATGAGGGTCCAAGGCCATGAAGGGCTTTGCCTGTTATAGTCAATACTTTAAACTGAGCCTGGTAACTGATGGGCAGCCAGTGGAGTGCAGTGACTGCAGAATGGAAGTAATACGTGTGATCCATCTAGCACCCACTAATAGCCAAGCCATGGCATTCTGGACCAGTTGAGAGCTTCCAAATTGACTTTGAGAGGATACCAATGTACAGCACATTACAGTAGTCTAGTCTGTTAGGGTGATGTGGATCCAGAGGGCCAGATCAGCTGTATCCAGGTATGCAGTCTTTTTCCTGATTTGGAAGAAAGTCTGATTTGGAAGAAATACTTTTTTGCAGCTGCATTAACTCACTACTCCAGCAATAATGCTGGATCCCCGTATAACCCCAAGACTCTTAACTGAGTCAACAAGGGTCAGCTGAATTCCATCGAAAATGGGGAGCATAATGTCCTTCAGGACCTCTGCCTTCCCAACCAGCATTGCTTCTGTCTTTCCAGGGTTTAATTTCAATTTATTCACTCCTGGAGATTTAACCAGAGCAGCTGGACAGCACTTTAGGACCTCTGCTGCATCTCCAGGAGATTTGGATAAGGATATATATATAGCTGTGCATAATCTACATGCTGTTGTCAACCAACTCCAAAACTATGACTGATTTGGCCTAAGAGATTAAAGAGTGTGGGCAAAAGGACTGTGCCCTGTGGGATCCCATAGGATAGGTCCCACACTGATAATAACTGGTCTCCAATGACAATTCTTTGGATCTGGTCTATGAAGAATGATTTGAACCAGTCCAATGCACAACCCTGGTGCCTCAACAAGATCACATGGTCTACTGTATCAAAGGTATCAGCTAAACCAGTAAAAGCAACAAGAAGGCCTGCCCTCCATCTATATTTAGATGGAGGTCCTCAACTAAAGCCAGGAGAGTCATCTCCATCCCACAGCCCACTCTGAAACCAGACTGAAAAGGGTCTACAGCAGATGATTTCTCCAGGAAGACCTGGAGCTGGTCTGCTACTGCCTGGAAAGGGCAGATTAGAGACAGGGTGATAGCTGGCTACATCATGGCCGTCACCAATACTTCATAGGTCTTACAGTGAGCTCTATAACATGATCTGTCAGATTCAATATGAGTTCTCCACCGACGCTGTTCTAGATGTCTCCCAACCCTTCACCCAGCTCTATGGTGAACCAGGGGCTGGGTTTTGTCCCATGGGTAGGAGAGATCTTCAAGGGGCAATGTTGTTTCTAACTTCAAGGAGCTTCATATTCCACACTTCCACTACAACCTTAACAGAGCACATGTCTGGAATCCTAAAATCCCTTACAGGATTCTGGAATCCAGTAGGATTCATGAAACTCCATAGGCAGATCATTTTAACTGGGACCTCTTTTCTGTGGAGTGTTGGAACCACATTGTCCTTGTGTACTGACTAGCAGGCTTGGAGCATCAGGCACCAGAAGTCAGGCCAAGCAGAGCCATTCGGTCCAAAGGTCCAGGTTCCAGAAGTCAGGCAAGGCAGAGTCGGTGGCTGAGTGTCTATTGAACACATTGCATCCACACCCAACAGCCTCCCTTGGCTGGTTTTTATAGTCATATGCTTAAGGAGAAGAGATTGCATTTATACTCCACCCTTCACTCAGAGTCTCAGAATGACTTATAATCTCCTTCCCTACCTCTCCCCACAACAGACACCCTGTGAGGTAGGTGGGGCTAAGAGAGCTCTGAGAGAACTGCTCTTGAGAGAACAGCTCTGAGAGAACTGTGGTTTGCCCAAGGTCACCAAGCAGCTGCATGTGGAAGAGTGGGGAATCAAACCCAGTTCTCCCAGATTAGAGTCTGCACTCCTAACCACTACACCAAACTAGTCATGCTTGCAGCAGCTACTCATCTTGGTTATCAGCAAGCAGCTGGC